GGATCACACAAACAAGACTAGTGTCTGCTAATACTAACTGATATAATCAAAAGGAGAGAACCATCCAATGTGGGAAGCGGGATACACAGCAGACTCATAGAATGGCAGATGTCCTAACAGCACTCTGGCCTCAGAATCAGCCCTTAAGGCATTCAGATCTGGCTGAAGAGCCCATGAGAGTATTTCAGGCATGGAAAGCCAAGACACGGTGGCAAAAAAAAATGACCTCCATGAAGGATCTCTGTGAGTGAGATCCCAGTGGAAAGAATGGGCCATCAAAGAAGGAGGTACCTTTCTCTGAAGGGAGGAGAGAACTTCCACTTTGACTATGACCCTGTCTGAACAAGATCGAAGTCGGCAAACTCAAAAGGCTTCCATAGCCTTGGCGACTCATGACTAGAGCCTAGGGTGATTACTGATGCCATAAACAGGAGTGTCAATTTGTTAAGTCAACAACAGGAGTCACTGTGCACTTATTCCTCATGTAGGATCTCTGTCCTTGGTGTGCTGTACATTGAGATTTAATGCTATAACTAATACTCAAACAGTATTTTTCACTTTATGTTTCTGTGTGGGAGCAAACTATTGAAATCTTTTTTTTTTAATTTTTTTTTTTGACAGGCAGAGTGGACAGTGAGAGAGAGAGATAGAGAGAAAGGTCTTCCTTTGCCGTTGGTTCACCCTCCAATGGCCGCCGCGGCCGGCGCGCTGCGGCCGGCGCACCGCGCTGATCCGATGGCAGGAGCCAGGAGCCAGGTGCTTTTCCTGGTCTCCCATGGGGTGCAGGGCCCAAGCACCTGGGCCATCCTCCACTGCACTCCCTGGCCACAGCAGAGAGCTGGCCCTGGAAGAGGGGCAACCGGGACAGAATCCGGCGCCCCAACCGGACTAGAACCCGGTGTGCCGGCGCTGCTAGGCGGAGGATTAGCCTAGTGAGCCGCGGCGCTGGCCTGAAATCTTTACTTAATGTATGCTAAACTGATCTTCTGTATATAAAGAGAATCGAAAATGAATCTTGATGTGAATGGAAGGGAAGAGGGAGATGGAAAGGGGAGGGTTGCGGGTGGGAGGGATGTTATGGGGGGGAAGCCATTGTAATCCATAAGCTGTACTTTGGAAATTTATATTGATTAAATAAAAGCTACAAAAAAAAAAAAACAGACTAACTTAAAAAAATTGAATAGAATTATGTTCTAGCAATTATTAATGCATTTGCTTTGACCCTGAGAATGCAATGTATTAATACATTTCTTTATAAAATATAAAATGAAATAAAGTTAACTTTCAAATATTCAATGTGAAGTTTCATATCAAATGACTGGAACTTCATAAACTATACAACTAATAGTAGACTAGCCTCCTGTCAATATAAAATATTTACTATAAAACTATATTTTGAAAAGAAAAAAAATCATAAAGTTGAACATGTCATTTTATTGTTCAAGTAATAGAATTTCAGTTATTTTTTCAGAACTGATGAACATAACACCTTTCCGTGTCTAATTTTCATTTAGTCGAAGGTCAGTTAAAATTAGGATATTGGTATATTGAGGATGGTTGATTAGTTGACATTGGCGGGGAGGCAGCAGTTCTACTAGCTATCATTGGCATAGTGAACCATGGATTGCTTGCTGTTAACGTGCTAGAAAAAGGACCCACAATTGTTGCTAAAGAAGGATGTCTAGGTGCAAAAACAGGACGGTTTGCCATCAGTCCAAAATAATTATTCTGTACTGGAGACAATATTTGAAATTGGGAAATAGAAGTTGTAGTTGTCACAACATTCAGGATATGGCCATGTGCTTGAGAGTAGGTACTATATGAATGCCTATGAGAAGTGGTCATTTGATTTAAAAGAGCATGTTGATTTGTTACAAATTGTACTGATGGTGCAATTAAAGTTGATGATGGAGTCAAAATATTACTTGTCACTGGATCATTTGAATTAGCAATTCTGTGGCTAGTAGGAGGCACATTTAAATTTGTAGAAGTTGAAAGTAACCTTTCTTCATTAGTTTCTGTAGATGAGCTAGGATTTTGAGTATGCACATACTCGCCTGCACTGTGGTATGTCTTGTCAAGATTGTGAACTAAAGAAGCAGATGGTGGAGATGTGTGTTTAATCCCAACTCTGCGCTTCATTCTTACTAGAAGTTGGGGACATCCTCGCTTAAAATTTGGATTCTGATAGAACGTAACTGAAACCAAAGGAGAAAGCATTTAGTGATACTTCAAACCAAGAGTCACAAATTAATATATATGAATATATGCAATCTATGAATAAATGAATAGATAAAATTATTAAATCTAAAATATCAGGTTCAACATAATTACAACAAATAAAACTTGATTATTCCTAAATGTAAAAGTTAGCAAACATTTAAATATGATAACCGTTCCACTAAACTGACCTTAACTTCTTTGTGTGGAGCTCATTGATAAGATTCAAAATAACTAGTAACATTGCTTATATTTTTGAATTTCAAACTTTCTTCTCATAAAAATTTAATGTTGATCCAGCTAATTTTAAACTTTGTGTCTTACTCCATAAATAAATATATTAAGTGAGGTACAAACTAAACTTAGTTGTGATGCCTACATTAGTTGTAAGTGAATATGTTGAATACCTTGCTAAAAACAGGTATGTTGTTTTCTTCTTCCAGAAAGTCAGTCAGGGATGCAGAGCTTTGGAAATCTTGTCGTATTTTTCTAAATCCATAAAGGTTAAGCTGTCGAACTAAACTTTTCATGCTGTCTGCTTCAAATATCTTAAAAGGGGTCTTTCTTTCCAACACTTCTTTCTTAAAGTATTCTTCATTTATCACAATAGAAGTCCCATTTTCGTCCCACCAAATTGACTTAAATTGATCACTTTCAACTATCTTCCAAAGTTTTACAGGAAAGGTCAGAGAAACAAAATCATTCCCTTCTGGGGTGTCAGACATACAAAGTGTATAGCGTGGTCTTTTTATCAAGGGTCCTTCAGATAAAGCTTGAAAGGCATTTTCTTCAACTACAGACCTTAAATCCAAGTCATTATCAATTGTGGGATACCAGCCTGGAGCTTCAGTGGTGTTTTCTGAATCAGTTGTTCCACTCTGAGGAGAGACACCTTGAACTTCTGAGGGAACCTGGGCCATCTCAAATAAATTTTTCTTTGGCTTCTGCCTGGTTTTGAGAACTGAGGCCTCAAATGTTGCTTTAGTAGACTTACACAAGACTAGCTGATGTCAGCCATCACCATGGTCCTGAGTTACTGTGACATCATAAGAGGACTTGTCTCTTAGCAATGCAAATATGACTTTCTGCCTAATGTTGGTTTCCTCCCTGCAAAACAAGTTAAAATAAAACATTCACAGATAATTTACACAATACACATGTTGCAAAGTCTTGTCGCAGCAAATATTTTGGTTAAATAAAATGGATAAAATGCCTAAATTAGAAGTTTTCCCTTCTTTCTAGCTACATTCTTTACTAAACTTTCATAAGTTGAATGATTCCTGCATGCCAGGAATAAATTTGACTTGGTCCTGATGCACATTCTTGCTGATACATTGTTGGATTTAATTATATCGTACTTTGTTGAGGACTTTTGCATCTATATTCATCAGACATTGCTCTATAATTATCTTTCCTTATTGTATCTTTTCTGGTTTTAGAATTAGGTGATGCTGGCCTCATAAAAGGAGTCTGGGATAATATCCATGTTTTCAAAAGCTTGAGAACAATTGGAATCAATTTTTCTTTGGATCATGTTCAGCATTGAAGTCATCCAGTCCTCAGTTTCTCAATGTCGTGGAGGGTCTTTATTAATAATTCAACTGCTGGGTACCAAAAAGTATGCTGTGCCCAGATCATTAGATCCCTGCAGAGACCCCCAGAGTGTCGATCACACCGAACTGCAAAAGCAAGGTTTATTCAGGAGTACAAGCCGCGACAGGGACCCCATCCAACCAACCAGCACAGCAGAGGAAGGAGTGAGGCCCCGATCTTTCTTAGGGAGAGTTTTTAAAGGGAAAAAGGGCTACATCAGCAGGAAAACGGAGTTACATACAACATGGAAGCTTTGGATACAGGGAGTCACAGGGGGGCTTACAGCACAGAAGCTTTGGATGCAGGGAGTTACTTTGTTCAGCAATCTCTACTGTACTGAAGCCAGAATCCACTTCCTTGACTTCACCGGGAACCTGTCAGTCTGCTGCCAGGACCTCACTCCCTGAGGCTGCCCTGTGTGGCCCTGATGGTACCTAGACCTGACAGCCTGTGCCCAGAACCCAACTTCCTGTGGCTGTGCTGAGTAGCATTGACTGTACATGTCAATCTGTAACAGGAACCCCACATCCTTAGGTCTGCAGACTGCTCCTGATGGGACTGGAAACCTGTCTGTCTGTGGCCATCACACCAACTTTTTGCTCCCCTGCCTGCCCATGAGTGGATCAGGAACCTGTGAGTCTGAGGCCAGAACCCCACACTCTTAGCCTCCCTGCCAGGCCATAAGGACCAGGAACATGTAAGTCTGCAGTCAGAACCATATCTCCTTTGTTCCCCTGCCTGGCCTTACTAGACCGGACCCTGTCAATCTTCAGTCATAACCCCATGTTCTTAGCTCCCTTGCCTGCCCCTGATGGACCCGCAACCTGTCAGTCTCCCGCCAGAACCCCACCTCCTTGGTTCCCCTTCCTGCCCCTGACTGGACTAGGAACCTGTCAGTCTGCGCCCAAACCCCAAGGCCTTAGCTCCCCTGCCGGCCCACAACTGCACCGGGAAACTGTCACTCTGCCGCCAGAACCCCACCCCCTGGGCGGTCCTGCCTGCCCCAGACTGGACGGGACCCTGTCAGTCTCCCGCCAGAACCCCACCTCCTTGGCTCCCCTGCCAGCTCCTGACTCGGACCAAAAGCTGCCCGTCGTCAACCAGAACCCCGCATCCCTAGCTCCCCTGCCTGCCCCTGCCTGGACCGGGAACCTGTCAGTCTCCCGCCAGAAACCCACCCCCTTAGCTCCCCTGCCTGCCCCTGATTGGACCGGGATCATGTCAGTCACCCGCCTAAACCCCAGCCCCTCGGCGCTCCTTCTGCCCCTGAGTGGACGGGGAACCTGTCAGTCTCCCGCCAGAAACCGCACCCTCTTGGCGCTATTTCTGCCCCTGACCGGACGGGAAACCTGTCAGTCTCCCGCCTAAACCCCACCCCCTTGGCGCTCCTTCTGCCCCTGACTGGACGGGGAACCTGTCAGTCTCCCGCCTAAACCCCACCCCCTTGGCGCTCCTTCTGCCCCTGATTGGACGGGGAACCTGTCAGTCTCCCGCCAGAAACCCACCCCCTTAGCTCCCCTGCCTGCCCCTGCCTGGACCGGGAACCTGTCAGTCTCCCGCCAGAAACCCACCCCTTTAGGCTCTACTGCCTGCCCCTGATTGGACCCCAATCCTGTCAGTCTCCCGCCTAAACCCCACCCCCTCGTCGCTTCTTCTGCCCCTGACTGGACGGGGAACCTATCAGTCTCCCGCCAGAAACCCACCCCTTTAGCGTTCCCCTGCCTGCCCCTGAATGGATGGGGAACCTGTCAGTCTCCCGCCTAAACCCCACCCTCTTGGCGCTATTTCTGCCCCTGACTGGACGGGGAACCTGTCAGTCTTCCGCCTAAACCCCACCCCCTTGGCGGTGCTGCCTGCCCCTGACTGGACCGGGATCCTGTCAGTCTGCCGCTCAAACCACACCCCCTTGGCGCTCCTTCTGCCCCTGACTGGACGGGGAACCTGTCAGTCTCCTGCCTAAAGCCCACCCCCTCGGCGTTCCTTCTGCCCCTGACTGGACGGGGATCCTGTCAGTCTCCCACCAGAACCCCACCTCCTTGGGTCCCCTTCCTGACCCTGACTGGACCAGGAACCTGTCAGTCTGCGCCCAAACCCCAAGCCTTAGCTCCCCTGCCGGCCCACAACTGGACCGGGAAACTGTCACTCTGCTGCCAGAACCCCACCCCCTTGGCGGTCCTGCCTGCCCCAGACTGGACGGGACCCTGTCAGTCTCCCGCCAGAACCCCACCTCCTTGGCTCCCCTGCCAGCTCCTGACTCGGACCAAAAGCTGCCCGTAGTCAACCAGAACCCCGCATCCCTAGCTCCCCTGCCTGCCCCTGCCTGGACCGGGAACCTGTCAGTCTCTCGCCAGAACCCCACCCCCTTAGCTCCCCTGCCTGACCCTGCCTGGACCGGGAACCTGTCAGTCTCCCGCCAGAAACCCACCCCCTTAGCTCCCCTGCCTGGCCCTGATTGGACCGGGATCCTGTCAGTCTCCCGCCTAAACCCCAGCCCCTCGGCGCTCCTTCTGCCCCTGACTGGACGGGGAACCTGTCAGTCTCCCGCCAGAAGCCCACACCCTTAGCTCCCCTGCCTGCCCCTGCCTGGACCGGGAACCTGTCAGTCTCCCGCCAGAAACCCACCCCTTTAGGCTCAATGCCTGCCCCTGATTGGACGGGGTTCCTGTCAGTATCCCGCGTAAGCCCCACCCCCTCGGTGCTCCTTCTGCCCCTGACTGGACGGGGAACCTGTCAGTCTCCCGCCTAAACCTCACCCCTTTAGCGTTCGCATGCCTGCCCCTGACTGGACGGGGAACCTGTCAGTCTCCCGCCTAAACCACACCCTCTTGGTGCTATTTCTACCGCTGAATGGATGGGGAACCTGTCAGTCTCCCGCCTACACTCCACCCCCTTGGCGGTGCTGCCTGCCCCTGACTGGACCGTGATCCTGTCAGTCTCCCGACAGCACCCCACCCCCTTGGCGCTCCTTCTGCCCCTGACTGGACGGGGAACCTGTCAGTCTCCCGCCTAAACCCCACCCCCTACGCGGTGCTGCCTGCCACTGACTGGACCGTGATCCTGTCAGTCTCACGCCAGCACCCCACCCCCTTGGGGCTCCTGCTGCCCCTGACTGGACGGGGAAACTGTCAGTCTCCCTCCTAAACCCCACCCCCTTGGCGCTCCTGCTGCACCTGAGTGGACCGGGATCCTGTAGTCTCCCGCCAGCACCCCACCCCCTTGGCGCTCCTTCTGTCCCTGATTGGACGGGGAACCTGTCAGTCTCCCGCCTGAACCCCACCCCCTCGACGCTCCTTCTGCCCCTGACTGGACGGGGATCCTGTGTGTCTCCCTCCTAAACCCCACCCCCTTGGCTCTCCTTCTGCCCCTGACTGGACGGGGATCCTGTCACTCTCCCGCCTAAACCCCACCCCCTTAGCGCTCCTGCTGCCCCTAACGCGACCCGGAAGCTGCCGGAGGGCGCCTCCTCCCGCCCTCTGCACTGCCGCTAATGACTTTTTCCAGTGCGCGCTCAGAACGCCACCTCCTTCCTCGCCGGTGGCTGCCTGGCCTCCCTGGACGAGTGAGGCGCAGGTCTAGGTTCAGAACCTCGCCCTCTGCCCGGCCCTGAGTGGCTCTGCTGGATGAGGAGGAACAGTGCGGCCTGTCCCGCCCGTGCTGGGCGCGGGCAGGCAGCGTGGCAGAAGACAGGTTCTGGGCTCCTACTGCGCGTTCCTCCTCCCAGACAAGGGCAGGCAGGGCCAAGCTACAGGGCGAGGTTCTGGCGGACGGACAGGCGGGTACGCGCCCGCTCAGGGGCTGCCAGGGACGTGCGCGGGACACAGACCCGAAGCTGCCCGGTCGGGTCCGAGCTGGACATGGGCGGGACGACTGCCGCGTGGTGCGCGCAGACGTCACTTCCCGCGTCCAGTCAGGAGCCGCGAGGGGCGTGGCTCGAGGCGGTTCCTTTCCACACCATTTCCGCCCCGAGCCGCAGAAACAGGGCGACACAACCACTCAGCATCTGATTGGCAACGGAGTCTGAGACCGCGTGAAGCCAATGGCTGCCCGACCTGTCACTCAGACGAGCCCAGCCGCAGAGCGCCCTGCCGCTGAGGCTTTGGGGAGTTGTAGTCTCCCCGGTCCACCCTGTCCAAGCAGAGGGTGGCTGGACAATGTGAAATCAGGAAATATGGCCCACAGGTGACAGACGAAAAATGATCATTTAGGTCAGGAAAATTAGGCCTCAGAGCTTTTTTTAAAAGAAGAGAAAGAAGACAGCTGGGTTGAAACACGGTTCCTTTCCACACCATTTCCGCCCCGAGCAGACGCCTCCGAAACAGGAAGCACACACCCACCCCGCGTCTGAGCGGTTCGGAGTCTGAGACCGGGGAAGCCATTGGGTCGGCTACCTGTCACTCAGGCCAGTACAGCCCACACGTAGAGCGTCGCCGCCGCCGCTGAGGCTTCGGGGAGGTGGAAGTCTCCCCGCCCCGCTCTGT